GGAGTGTTATGTTAAGTGAAATAAGTCATACAAAGACAGATACCATATGTTTTCACTCTTGTGTGGATCCTGAGAAACTTAACAGAAGTCTGTGGAGGAGGGGAAGAAAAAAAAAAGAGGTTAGAGTGGGAGAGAGCCAAAGCATAAGAGAGTCTTAAAAACTGAGAACAAACTGAGAGTTGATGGGGGGTGGGAGGGAGGGGAGGGTGGGTGATGGGTATTGAGGAGGGCACCTTTTGGGATGAACACTGGGTGTTGTATGGAAACCAATTTCACGTTAAATTTCCTATTAAAAAAAAGAAAAAGAAAAGAAAACATGAATACATACGTAGAAAATCCAAAGAGATCTATAGATAATGTTAAATTTAATAAGTGAATTTGACAAGGTCTTAAGATATGATATCAATATATATAAGAAAAATCTATTGAATTTCTGTATAATAACAACAGGTAATTAGAAAATAATAATTTTGAAATAATGGCATTTATGGTAGCATCAAAAGTACCAGATAACTAGGAATGAGTCCAATACATTATTAGAAAAACCTCTACACAGAAAACTCTGAAACATTATTGAGAGAAAAATGTACAAATGAAAATGGAGAGACAAATCACATTCATGGGTTTGAAGACTCATTGTTGTCAAGATGCTAATCCTCCCAAAATTCATTATAGCTTCAATGCTTTCCTCATAAAACCTCCAGTAGTATTCTTATGGAATTTGATGCTCATTCTAAATTATTTACACAAATGTAAAGCACAAAAATAGGCAAGAAAATAATAAAGAAATATAAAGATGATGGAATCACATTTCCAGATGTTAGTGTTATTGTAAGTTTATAGTAAATTAGACACTGTGGTGTTAGCACCAGGGTTTGAAATAGACAAATGAAACAAGAGAGAACAAGTCCAGAAACAATCCCTCACACATAAAGGCACTTGTTTATGACAAAGGTGGCATAACAGACCATAGAGAAATGATGGTTTTTGGAATAAATGGTGCTGGGTCAATTTGATAGCTATGTGGAAAAAATGAAATGACCCCTATCTCATATTACATACAAAAGGGAGCCCCAGGTTGATTGAAAATCCAATTTTTTAAAAAGTTTCAGTATAGTTGGTACACCATGTTACATCAGTTTCAGTTGTACAACGTAGTGATTCAACTTACCTTTCGGTTGTGCTGTGTTGACCACAAGTGCAGCTACTGTCTGTCCCTATACAGTGTTATTATAATATCACTGACTATATTCCCCATGCTGTAACTTTTTTTAAAATAATTTTTAAGGGTATTTATTTTGAGAGAGAGGAAAAAAATGTGAGTGGGGGAGGGGCAGAGAGAGAGGGAGAAAGAATCCCAAGCAGTCTCTGCATTGACAGTGCAGAGCCCAAAGGAGGGCTTGAACTCACAAACCATGAGCTCATGACCTGAGCTGAAATCAAGAGTCCCATGCTTAACCAACTCGGTTACCCAGGCACCTCTACTTATGCTGTACCTTTTATCCCTGTGACTTATTCATTCCATATCTGGAAGCCTGTATCACCTACTCCCCTTCACTCATTTTTCCTGTCTCCCACATTCCTCCCCAGCAATCATCAGTTTGCTCTTTGTACTTAAGGGTCTGTTTCTGCTTTGTGTTTTTTTGCTTAGATTCCAGTTATGAGTGAAATATTATGGTATTTGTGTTTCTCAGTCTGACTTATTTCACTTAGCATAATACCCTCTAGATCCATCCGTATTGTTGCAAATGGCAAGAGCTCATTCTTCTTTATGACTGAATAATATTCCTGTGTGTGTGTGTGTGTGTGTGTGTGTGTGTGTCACATCTTCTTTATCCATTCTTCTATCAATAAGCGTGGGTTGCTTCCATATCTTAGCTGATGTAAATAATGCTGCAATAAACACAAGGGTGCATATATCTTTTCGAATTAGTGTTTTCATTTTCTTTGGATAAATGCCCAGTAGTGGAATTACTGGATCATATTGTAGTTCTATTTTTAATTTTGTGAGGAAGCTCCATACTGTTTTGCACAGTGGTTTCACAAATTTACATTCCCACCAACAGTGCACAAGTGTTCCTTTTTCTTCACATTCTTGACAACACTTGTTATTTCCTGTGTTTTTGAATTTAGCCATTCTGACAGGTCTAAAGTGATATCTCATTGTGGTTTTGACTTGCATCTCCCTGATGATTAGTGATATTGGGCATCTTTCCATGTGTCTGTTTGCCAAGATTTGAAATTTTCAAGTAGTTGTATTTTTAGAAGTTTTCATAGGAGAATATTTTCATGACTTTTAGATAAGGAAAGGCCCCATAAAGAGGACACAAGTATGTCTAAAATAAATGAAAACTTGATTAATGCACCGTCATTAATGCACCATAAAGAAAGGGAAAAGTCAAACCACCCAATGGGACAAGATAGTTGCAATACATATAATTAAAAAATGTGGGGTCCCTGGCTGGCTCAGTTGGAAAAGCATGTGACTCTTAACCTCAGAGTCATGAGTTCAAGCCCCATGTTGGGTGTAGAGATCATTTGAACAAACAAGCAACCTTAAAAAAACATAATGAGCTTATATCCATAATATTGAAAGGAATCCTACAAATCAGGAAAATCATAAACAAGTCAATAGAAGAATAAGCAAATGACTTGTGCAGAACATTATAAACATATGAAAACTAGCTTAGTTTATTTTGTAATGAAGGAAATTTAAAACCAGAATTATATATTATTAAGTTTACAGAGGAATGGCTAAAATGAAAACATCTGACAACATAAACCGTTAGCAATGGTGTGGAGCAACCAAAACTCCTCTGTTGCTGATGTGAATGCAAACTGATACATCCCCGTGGAAAACTCTTCAGTAATATCTGCGAAAAGGGAACATGTATTTATCCTATAGCCCTGTAAATTACACTCCTAAATATGTATAAAATTGAACTGTGTATATGTGTGCACAAATAAACATGTAGAAGAATACCTAAAGAAGCGTTCTTTATAGATAGCTGCAAACTGGAAGCAACCCAAATGTCAGCAGTAGAATGGACACATTTTGGCATACTCATCACACAATGGAATACTACTTATCAATGAAAATTAAAGAAGTACAGTTGCACAGAACAACGTGGACTCTCACAAACATAATTATGGGTGAAATAGCGAAATCTATTTAGCTATAGAAAATTCAAAACTAGACAAAACCAATCTATTATGTTAGAAGTTAAAATGGCATTTATCTTTGGAGAGGTGTCAAGGAATAGTGACTGACAACGGATGTAACGATAGCTTCTGAGTTGTTGCTAATGTTCTTCCTGTTACATGAATGTGAAAATTTATCAAGTAGATAATGGAGTTATGAATTCTTCTCTCTATATTTTAACTATGATTTTAAAATCTCTTAATTCTCCAGAAAAGAGATTCAGTTGGCTTAAATTTACCCATGTATCAACCCTGATCTAGTCAGCTGAGGTCACTCTGTTGGCTTCACATAGCCTGCACCTCATTTATCATGGGCTGTGGGATGACACACATTCACAAGGGGGTGTAGGTGGGGCTGTGAGTGAATCCAACAATTAGGAAAATGGCAGCGGTCATACCCAGGAACTGTCAGGCATCAAGCATGTGAACCTGAAAAATAGATTGAGAAGGAATTGTGGTAGTATCAGAAGAAACAAGAGGGAAAAGTGCATTTATTATCTTATTTAAATATTTATTTATTTATTTGGAGGGGAGAGGGGCAGAAAGAGAGGAAGAGAAAAAATCCCAAGCCGGCTCCACAGTGTCAGTGCAGAGCCCAATGCAGGGCTCAAATTCACGAACTGTGAGATCATGACCTGAGGCGAACTCAAGAGTCTAACACTCAACTGACTGAGACATCCAGGTGCCCCGAAACATACATGTAAAATAAAGCTAGGTAGTGTTTCAAAAACAAGAAAACGTTGAAAGGAGTAAAAATGCTGACATGAGCTCAAGTAAGATAACATTGAAAGGAGTATGTCACTGGTGACCTTGGTGATGAAATTTCCAGTGGTATGAGGGGGAAGAAGCCTGATTGTAAGCAACAGCCCAATTGTAGTAGGATGACGAATAAACAAATGAGAAGATATGGAAGATGTATGAAGGCTATGGCCCTTCTTGCCAGAACACATATGCATGCATACACAAAATAATTTCCTCCATTTCTTTTTTTTTTTTTTCAACATTTATTTATTTTTGGGACAGAGAGAGACAGAGCATGAACGGGGGAGGGGCAGAGAGAGAGGGAGACACAGAATCCGAAACAGGCTCCAGGCTCTGAGCTGTCAGCCCAGAGCCCGACACGGGGCTCGAACTCACGGACCGCGAGATCGTGACCTGGCTGAAGTCGGACGCTTAACCGACTGCGCCACCCAGGCGCCCCAATTTCCTCCATTTCAAGAGGACCTCCATTTCAAGGAGGTCCATGTACCTCCTAAAGCCCATTTATCAATTCCAATTTAAGCAAACTTAGTGCAGGATATTCTTATGAAGATCTTGGTCACAAAGAGGAGGTGAGCCCGCAGTACCTAGAGCAGGCAAAGTGTTGGGAAATGTTTGTGGTTTGAATGTGTTTTGTTTTGTTTTGTTTTTTTGTTTTTTTAATGTTTATTTATTTTTGAGACAGAGAGAGACAGAGCATGAACAGGGGAGGGGCAGAGAGAGAGGGAAACACAGAATCTGAAACAGGCTCCAGGCTCTGAGCTGTCAGCACAGAGCCACACGCGGGGCTCGAACTCATGGACTGTGAGATCATGACCTGAGCTGAAGTCAGACGTTCAACCGACCAAGCCACCCAGGCGCCCCTGTTTTGTTTTTAATAAGAGACTCTGGGCATAGTCAGAAACTTTGGAAAGTGCAGAAATAGAGAAGGATGAGGTTGTAACACATGTGTAAACACGTGAGACAGAGGAAATAACAGAAGGATCAAGGTCACTACAGCAATGCTCCCTTATCCACGGTTTCACTTCTGCTCATTTCAGGTACCTGAGGTCAACTACGGTCTGGAAGCAGATGATCCTTCTCCTGACATATCATCATCATAAAGTCAGCCTAACTTTATGTCACAAGCCTGTCATTCACCTCACTTCACTTCATCAGGTAGGCATTTCATCATCTCACACCACCACAAGAAGAAGGGTGAGTACAGTACAAGAAGACATTTTGAGAGGGAGAGACCACATTCACACCGCTTTTATTACAGTATGATGTTATAATTGCTCGATTTTAGTTTTAGTTATTGTTGTTGGTCTCTGACTGTGCCTAATTTATGTTAAACTTTATCATATGCACATTCTGTATTGGGGGTAGGGGTAGTAGTATATACAAGTTTCAGTACGGTCTGCAGTTTCAGGCAACCACTGGGGGTCTTGGAACATATTCCCCCGGGGATCAGGGGGAGATTATTGTATTATGGAGACAATGGGAAGGGATAAAAATAAGGCCAAAGGCTGAGGCAATAACCAGAAAGATCACCTCTTCTTCTGAGATTGGAGGGAATGCTTTGATGGCTGGTGCCACTATAAATAAATTTATAGATACAAGAGTAGGAAATTGTATAACTTCACTGCCATTCAACTCAATGTTTTTATGAAGAAATAAAAGCAACATCTACAGAATGGTGGGCAAGAAGATAAAGAGCCCCGAGAGGTTTATTTTAAGATTCAAATCATCTTCCTGATATTTATCCCAAATGTTTTCATTGAGAAAATGATTTCACGTGTTTCAGGCATTGTGCTAAGATACAAAACTAAGACATGGTCCTTGACTTAGAGGAATTCACTGTGTAAATTACAGAACATGTTCCCTCCCATGACAGGGGCTACATGAAGTGCCAAGGTAAGAACTGTGAAGCTTGGCCTCAGCTTGCTAGGAAGGGGTGTGTGTCAGCAGGAAGGGAGACTGCCATCCCTTTTGCCCATGCGGTAGTTTAAGGCTTGCGTGGTACTAAAAGCACATAATCACCTATAATAACCTATGAGGTGCATAGTTCCGGCATTATGTGAATTTTATTTCAATTTTAGTCACTTTGAAATATTAGCTCCCCTAAATGTGCATCTTCTGTAAAGTAAGATTTCCTGTTTTGTCCTAAATGTACCTTTGCCTAGTCAAAAGTACCCTCCAGTTCTAGCACTTTTTGTCTCGATTCAACAGATTTTAATCAGGCATTTAAGTCTCACTCAACCTTTTCAAACTGAAGCAGTCTCATCATTTGTGTTTCCTGCATACAATTCCTGCAATTCTTTTTATGAATGGTTTGCATAATAATAGGAATATTCTATTTTTTTAAGTTTATTTGGAAAGAGACAGAGACAGCGTGAGTGGGGGAAGAGCAGAGAGAGAGGGAGACAAGAGAATCCCAAGCAGGCTCTGGGCTGCCAGCACAGAGCCCGATGCAGGGCTTGAACTCGCAAAACTGTGAGATCATGACATGAGCCAAAACCACGAGTCGGACACTTAACCAACTGAGCCACCCAGGTGCCCCAGGACTATTGTAATTATCAAAACAAATAAGCACTCTTTGCTTATTTATGCACATGTGAGATAATGCATGGACAGAACATCATACTTAATAAATGTAGGCCATTCCTCATTATAATTTTTATTACAAATTTTTGCTCTCTTGTCTATTGTTTACCTTCCTTTCCATTGTTCCTTCCTTTTATAATTCCCCTTTAATGCTTTGCTTCCTTTGCCCTAGACCTTCCAGTAGACTTCTATAAGCAGTGCTTTCATTGTCCACCCTTCCACGATTGTATTCATGGTTCGATGATATCCTGTACTAGACTAGTGTGCATCTAAATGGCCCCCCAAAATAAGCCAGATTATTTCAAAGTGCAGTGATTCTATTTACTGAGAGTGTCATCTGAAAACTCTGAAATGATACATCATGGTACAAAGGAAAGTGTTCAAGGTGAGAGTCTGGTAGCCTGGATTCTAATTCCCAATCTGCTATTAATGCTGTGTGTACTTGGGCAAGTCACTTCATCAGTTCCAGTTGGCTTCATCAACAGCAGTATATATTTGGGAGGTTGGAGGGATTTGAGATTCATTAGAATAGTATTTAAAAGTTATACTAAAATATACATATATATATATAATATATATATTTTTATGTATATATATAATATATATATTTTAGATACTAAAATATACTATTCTTATATGTAAGAATAGTATCTAAAACACAAATCCTACACTTTATATACAAGCTACGCACGGAAAAGCAAATAAGATATATTTTATTGTTCTTCTTTGATTCATCCTTCAAATAACCCAGAATTGAAAGCCAACTGGGTTCTAATTTGAGTTCTATTAATTATCTGTGGGTTCTTAAAAATTGAGAACTCTTTCTGTCACAATTTTATCCCATGAGTATTATAGGAATTAGAAGGGAAAGCATATTCAAGTCAAAGGAATCACCAGGAGAAAACCTCAGAAGACAACTGATAAACTCAATCTGCTCATTGCCCAAGACTTTGACATACTGATACAATGAAGTTCTCAAGACCCTGATGGCAATTTAGCAAATTGGCATCATTATTTTATGCCTAAAATTGTTAATGGAAGCAGTTGCTTATATGAGCCTGAGCATAATCAGGGAACGATGTTTCTAGAGACACACTACTAAGGGAGTGAAAAACGAATCAGAAGCCTGTTTGAGAATATGTCATTATTTGGATGATTTGAATATTGGGTAGCTTTGAAGTAAGACAGCCAAATGTGCTCTGTCTACAAAAGGCAAATGGTTCTGTTAATACCTTCCATTAAGTCTTGCTCTGTCCTAGAAGACAAAGCTTCTGTAAGGTGACTTTTCCTCTTTATTCTCTGGTCCATTATGTGTTGTTTTGTTTTCTTAGCAGATCTCTCAGAGGGCAAACTCATTTCCAAATTCCTGGAAAACATCACACTGTTTTTACCCTTTATTACAGGGATATTAAAACCTGCCTTCATAGAACTGCTGTAGTTTTCAAAAGAGATAATATGTTTCACAGCATTGAATCTTGTTTAAGACTATTGTTATAATACTCTTATTTGGTACTGAAGGAGAAACTAACAGAGTAGAAGGCAATATTGTTTCCCTGAAAGAGCTTAAATTTTTGAAAATAATAGATGTGTACACATAAGTTAACAATAATAATAATTACTGATAGTATATTGAGTTCTCAGCCTGTTCCAGACACTGTACTAAGTATGTAACATATCATCTTCAAAACAACCATACAAGAAAGGTACTTCTATTATTCCACTTTTACAGATGAGGAAAAGGAAACCTAAATGGATTCAGCAACTTTCACAGGGTCACATAGCCAGTAAGGAATTGAACCTCTATAGCTGATTCTGGAAAAGAGAATCAAAGCATGTGTTTGGGGGATCTAAGAAAACTTCTCTTTAAGATAGAATATTGCTATTAAATTACTAGTCCATTAACTATTGGAAACAATAAAGTCACATCCTTAGATTTTGCCCTGCAAGGTTGTGCAGTAATTGGTACTTGTGTGTTTTAAACATGAGACGGTAAAGCCATTTCTAACTCAAAAATGTTATTAAAACTAAGGAACTTCACAACTTTAGTTGCAGTCTCAGATTCCACTTAGTTTGCTCTATGACAATCATGCTATTTTTATCTCTCAAACTTACAAAGTTTCAATTACTGATTACAACTAACAAAAGATTGGCTGATGGCTTCACACAGGTGCTCAACATGTGTCCTAAATGTTTACATTTGATGAATTTGGAAACTGTCCTCTCTGCCTTCACATGACTAAAATATGCTTTAAGCTGTGATCATCTTATTTCTGACAACTAAATAACATTTGAATAATTGAAATTACTGTCTTCTGATCAAACCTTCAGAGGGGCAATTGCCAACAGGGCTTTCCTTTTTTTCCATAGCTGAATGATATGACAGAGATGTATTAGATTCCTTCTTCCTTGGGCCACCTTAGGGCAATAACCGTAAACTTTGTAACCAAGAGGGTAGAAATTGTGACAGATTTATTTCTGTCGCAGCCTTTGTTCAACAGTAAATTCTTTCAGGACATAGTCGTGTCAGTTATATTTCTCTGCTTCCTATAACATCTAATGCATTTGATGCATAGTAAGGGTTCAATAAATATACATTGCATATATGAATGGAGATACAGTAGTGGAGCTTCTGTAATTGCTTTACCTGTCTGTCTCCCCACTTGCAAAGAGACAAATTAAATTCTGCGTCATTGCTCATTTATTGTGTATTTGATATATATGAAAATGGATTGAATTACAATCAGGATAGCCCTAGAAAGTCCACACTTTGAACATTCCCTCTCTGGTTGAACCCAGAGCAATGAGAGAATACTAAAGGAGAAAAATTCAACTATGTCGTTGATCTCAAAAATAAGATAAATCTTTCTGTGGGCGATAAATGAAATAGAAATTCAAATTGGTGTCAGACTGAAGCTACAGGACTTCTGGGCTTTGGGTTCAAAAGCAGAGACAGTTCTTTGGCTCCTGTGAATACTGTAGAGCAAGTGTCTTTGCATAAATTAGCATGGAAATAAGCCCCCTGCTTGAAACTGGGGGCCTTGTTGGGGCTTTCCTGCTTGTTAATACAAGTTGAAAAATAGTCCTGTGGATTGGCCTAGGACTATAATTTATTAAATGTTGAGGATTTAGGCATGAAAAAGACACACATATAACCTTATGACTCCCCTCTGTGATCTGTCCAAATCATTACAGGGCAGGAACCCTGTACCACCAATATATGGTCTGACTCTAGATTGGAGTGCATAAAAACACATTAAAGCAATTGGAAAATCTGTAAATAAAGAGCGTTGAGGATAGAGGAAGCAGGGGTGTGAGACACCCACATGCTTGCATGTGTGTTTATGTGTGTTTGAGAGAGAATGAGAAGGAACCATGGAAGAGAGACTGCAATCCAAAATTTTTAAATTCATGAAGATGATCAAGTGAGGCCTCTCCATACACACACACACACACACACACACACACACACACACACACACATTAATTCACTACAGAATAAATAAAACTAATAGAACAATTGGGAAGAATCTTTCAAAATAAATATACTAAGGATGTTCAAAGAAATAAATGAA